ATATTACACAGCATAAAAAAAATGTCCGTGTTCTGGTTTCCGCCTGTTTCACGTGATATTTGTTAAATTAGAACCAGTCATAAACCAGATCAGAAATTTAACATTTAGATTTATCGTAACGGTAACTGCTTTTAAGAATCATAAGAGATTCGTTTTAAGATAAATATTTAATCAATAAGAAAATTAAGTGGATTGCTCAATTGAGTTTCAGATTCAACTATGTTGTTGCGACGGAGACTTTTACAGAAATCATTAGTGATTTCTTGTTTATTTTCAATTATTGTTCTTGATACACTTGTGAATGCAGGATCTGACCAAAGTCCAGGATCAACCCCTGAAGTAGATTTGAACGATGCAACTAGAAAGTCAAAATTCCTTCTTACTGAGGCTGAAGGCTCAAAGCCTTTCCTTTTTAGCACACTTATGATTATAGTATCAGAAATAGGCGACAAGACATTCTTTATTGCTGCTATAATGGCAATGAAAAATTCCAGGCTTTTAGTTTTTTCGGCAGCTTTTAGTGCTTTAGCACTCATGTCAATCCTTTCTGCAGCTTTAGGCCATGCAGTTCCAAATTTGATTCCACGTACATATACCAATTATTTAGCTTCATTTTTATTTTTATTTTTTGGAATAAAAATGGCATTTGAGAGTGTACAAATGTCGGATGAGGAGGCTAAGAATGAATTAGAGGAAGTTTCAGCAGAATTGAAAGAAAAAGAAGAAATCGAACTTATAGAAGCTACAGAGGCTGGTGGTGTACAGGACGAAGCTGCCCCAGTAACATTTGTAGAAGGATTAATTAATTTATGTCAATTTTTATTTTCACCTATTTTCGTCCAAACATTTGTACTCACGTTCCTGGCAGAGTGGGGTGATAGATCACAAATTGCAACAATTGCCTTGGCTGCTGCACAGGTAATAATTTTTAATTTTCAAAAATTTTTCAAGGGAAACAGGCATCTCAATTATTTACAAACTCTAATAAATTAGGATATGTATTGGGTA